CCTCTCTCTTTGCCTGCAGCGTCCCTCCCACAGCCAGTCCTATGGTCTGTTTAGCTCCCCACCATGTCTCTGTCCTTTTTACCCTCTTCGATATGGCCTCTTTGCTACATTTAGCTGTGAAGAGTCTGTTTTGCCAGTCTTTGGGTCATTTTCTGGGTTATTTACACTGATGGAGCTTTTTTCTAGTTATGTTTATAGATGAAGTGAGCTTAGGGTCTTCTTACTCCACCATCTTCCCTGGAGTGGTAGCTATCATGATTTTTTAAGTTACTTGTACAATATCCAACATGTTGGACAATTTTCTTTCTAAAACCAATACCATTTCATATTGTGGCTGCTTCACTTGGTTGTGCTTCTTTTTCGAAGCACAAATGCATGGCTCTTCTACTCTGTCATGGAAAATGGTCAGCACTTGGCCTGTTGCTACTTACTGCACTATCCCATCCTCATGACAGGATCTGTGGTAGGGTGATGTGACTCTCTGGGCTCACTGATTTTCTCATTCAGTCCCTATTTTCTTTCTAAATGATATGGTGATGTAGGTTGGGTTCAGTGGAAATAGATGCTAAGATTTCATGCAGAGAGCTTGTTGTGGAGTTCTTTTGGGAACAACAGCTATACAAGATTGAGGAAAGTAGGATGGGGTAGAAGGAGAAGTTGAAATGTGATAAAATTGAAACAAAAGTCTCAGCTGTTGCCATGTGGAACCCTGTAGCTGGGACGGCTGTTCAGATTTGTCACAGACTGAGGAAAGAGTGTCAGGCCTTTGTATACCAGCACTGACTAATTATTGAATGTGAGCTATCCCTGGGTAGGGCAGATAAGCTAGTCTAGGAAAAAGCTAGTCTCTGTGGCTCGAGGCAATTTCTGGCAAGGAAGCCAGTTATCAGCATGCAAGACTTCTGTCAGTTGGAGAAATGATTGTCTCAGTCTTGAAAGAAAGACTGGGACAGCACATTATAGCATCCACTACACATGGGCCCACTGAGTCATGTCCCATACCTCTGCCATATCATAGAACATGTACTATGAACTATCATCATTCTCATTATTTTGTATATCCTTGGACCATATATATTGGTTCTAATAGCTCCATTTCAGGTGCTCTCAGTTCATCAAAATGCCTTCTCTAAATGTGAGTCTTAGTGGTGGTGTCTCTGTTCTATGAAACCATGGTGATGTATGTGAATCCCATATCTGGCTATTTAGTAGAAATGGAGACGACTTATCACATCCTCTCATATCCTCTATAATAACATCCTCTATAAAAACTCTAATCTTAAAAGTCTTAGCGACACCCCATTCAATAAGGACATGAAGCCTGTTCTCAGTCATGTCTTTTATGGTATGAATATTACGGACAACTCAAGAAGAGTTCTTCCTATTAAAAGATCCTGTTGAAGGAACCCAGTTTTATTAATTATACATCTCTGGCCTACTATACAAAATGAAAATATTTGGTACACCTAATCTTACTTTGGAGAGAGTTGCATATATTGTAAGGCCAAATGTAAAGACACCAAACAGAGAAGTCAATGAAATATAATTTGTAAGATAAACAATGAAAAAATCCCTGACACATGATTAAAAATATTTTGATATAATTAGGAGCATGGAGAACAGCATGAAGCATATGTACTGGGTTGTTATTATTGTCTAGTAGGGATGGTTGGTGGTAGAGAGAAAAGTAGATTGAGGATGAAGTGGTGGTGGTAGGGAGTAGGAAGGAGAAAATAAAGGAGAGTCCACCATAAAAAAATTCTCATTCATATAAAATTGGCATATGTGAGAATGTGTGTATGTGTATACAAGAACACATGAAAGATAGTCGACTAAAGTATTAATGGTGGTTCCCTCAGAGTGGTGGGATTTTAGATAACTTTAAAAGCATTTTTATGTTTTGTTTGAGAATTACTGCAATGAGCATTTAGTATTTATATATTGAGAAAAGCAAAAGAACATTTTTTTTTTCACTGTGGATGAGAAGAATCATTGCATTAAAGAAATCTTTCTTGAATACAAATAAATATCAGTGTATCCCTTGGAGTGAAAAAGCTGAATTCATAAAAGTAGATCAAATACATAAAGTACAGTCCACATATGAGCTTACATGGTTCTGGCTCAAAGAATAAGTTCTGAATGTATTATTTTAAATATTAGTATAACAACTGTACTTTGTTCTTTAGAGATTGATTTTTATATTTCAGTACCCAAATGACATTTTTTATTGTTCCCTGTTTCTCTTTACGTCTATTTATCTTAATTGTTGAATTGTAAACTATATTACATCTACATCTTGGAGCCATATTTATCTTGATTAAGGATGCTCATCACTCATTAGTATATCAATAGGTGTGGCCAATTATAAATCACGATGGGGTAGTAAATGCCCTATGGAACATCTATTCTAGAAAGCTTCTTTTCTGTGTATTGTGGTATACTTGTAAATAGATTGTGATCTATGAATGGTTAAGTACATTTTTCAGAACTTGTAATGCTTTCTCACCCCTTAATACTCTTGGCTTTTATCTGTACTCTTTTTATACTTGCTCCCATATCAACTTATGATTCCTTTGTTTATAGCACATCTTGTCCATTTACCCCTTGTTTATGACCCCCCAAGAGAATGAAATATGTCTTATTCACTTCTGTGTATTAGTCATCTTCTAGCTCTGTGCCTAGCATGTTAAATATATTTAATTGTTTTAATGAGTAAGTGGTCATGGAGGAAAATGGTACAACAAGAATAAAAATATAGCGACTTTCACTTTTTCATATTTTATTTATTCTCATAGGTCCTCAGAAGAAGAAGACATTTCTACTTTGTTCTAACAGAACCAAAGAATTTTAGTGAGATGATAAGAGGTTGTCAATTTTCTTCTTTTTCATTTTCCATCAACAGTCAGTCCTCTTCCTAATTTCCCAAAGAATCAAAGAATTATGAAGAAATGTTTCCCTGGTTCTAATTTCATAGCGGAATAGTTTTAAAATTTATTTTTTAATGTTATCATTAATTGTTTAAATGTATATTTAAATCCAAAACATGCTTATAGAAAGAAATTTTAAAAATACAAAAGTATATGCAATGAATGTCTTCTTCTTTCCCTGCCCCAAACACCCAGTTCTCTTTCTCAAAAACAATCACTGTTCTACTTTTTTCTTTCTTCTTCAACAAGCATATAATGTAATTATGAGCACAAATATATACTTACCCATAATCTTTCTCCACATGAAAGATAGCCCAAATAGAGATTTTTTTTCATCTTGTTTTTCATTTAATGATGTACTTTGAGGATAGTTTTAGATCAATAGACATGTACAGATCTTCATCTTTTTACAGTTATAGAGTATATTTCATTCTATGGATATATAGTAATTCAATCAGTCCTTAATTGATAGGAACTTAGATTGTTCTAATCTTTTGCTATTAGAAGCAGTAGTCAATTCTTGTACATATGCCATTTTTCTTATATGTGAGTATACCACTCAGATCAAAATCTAAGAGTGGAATTGCTGAGTCAAAAGGAATGCCCTTTAAATTTTGATAGTTTTTGTTAAAATGTCCTCCATAGCTCTTGCAACAATTTATCTTCTACTAGCAAAGGAAGAGATTGCTGTTTCCCCCAACAACATGTTTGATCTTTGTCAATTTTTGTCTCTCTAATTCTTAATAAAATAGAATGTATTTTTAGATATTTGAAACATCTGCTATTTATTTTTTTCATACATTTGGCACTTTTTCTTTTGTGCTGATGCTATTTTTCTTATTGATCTGAAGATTTACATATATAATATACATATATTATATATAAATATATATAAAGATATTAATCTTTTGTCTATAATTGATGTTACCATGACAGATGTTCTGGAGGGCAGAAATTTAAGTTCAACTAGAAGAATAAGGCCAATTTGTTGTTGTTGAAAGGATAATAGAAAACTTTAGGTTGTGCCATAGAGTTATAACTCATAACTCATAAATACAAATGAAAAATTAGAGGCTGAATTATCCCTATTGAAAATAAGAGAAGAGACTTTCCACTCTCCCCCCTTTTTTTTCTTGAGCATTTACTTTAGAAAACTTGTAATTAATTTTTTTCTGTCTTTGAAATGTATGTAAAAATTTAAAAAATCTAAATGCGCCTTTTTTTAAAAATTATGTTCAGTTAGCCAACATACAGCACATCGTTTGTTTTTGATGTAGTGTTCAGTGATTCATTAATTGCGTATAACACCCTGTGCTCATCACAACATGTGCCCTCCTTAATACCCATCACCGGGCTAACCCATCCCCGTATCCCCCCTCCCCTTTGAAACCCTCAGATTATTTCCTGGAGTCCAGAATCTCTGATGGTTCGTCTCCCCCTCTGATTTCCCTCTCTTCAATTTTCCCTCCCTTCCGCTATGGTCTTCCGTGCTATTCCTTATGTTCCACCAATGAGTGAAACCATATGATAATTGTCTTTCTCTACTTGACTTATTTCACTTAGCATAATCCCCTCCAGTTCCATCCATGTCAGTGCAAATGGTGGGTATTCATCCTTTCTGATGGCTGAGTAATATTCCATTTTATATATGAACCACATCTTCTAAATGAGCCTCTTGACAGCTTTATGACTCAGGAATGTCTTTGTCAAGGACCTAGGACGTCTCTTTGAAATGGAATCATCAAAGTGGGTAGTGCCCCAATCTCCCACTTTCTGTGGGGGTATACGAGCATAGCTTTGGTGGCCTATCTTCCAACCTGCAAAACTATCTCAGGCAGTATAGACAAGTTTATTTTTCCATTGCAGGAAACCAATTGGCAAACACAGATGACCATCCCAATTACTGAGTGAATTTAGGATGAACTGTGTGTGACAAAGTGTGCTGTGAAGTCTTTCTTGAGGACTAGTTATTATTTATCTTCAGAACATGTATGTAAATGGGTTGTATTTGCTTGGCTATGTAAAGGAATGAGATTTCTTTCTGAAGAGGTGTCAGAGAGGAAGTTGGCCAACATGTTGGGGACAGTGGAGGTAACATACCAGATCTCTAGGAAGGAGAAGTTGGCGAGGAAGATGTACATGGGAGTGTGGAGTCTCTGATCCCAGTACACAGCACAGATGATAGACCCATTGCCCATATATGATACACATTTTCCCTTTCTTTGATACTTATTCAATAATAAAACTGTTTTATTCTCTTCTACCACTGTGGAGAGGTTTTCTGGCTTGGCAGGAGATGTTTTTAATTCTATTTCTCCAACAAACTCAGTTCAGTTTATCACTCTAGGACTCTATCAATTATAAAATTAGGGAGATGGAATGTATCTTTGAGATCCCTTATAGCCCCATAAAATCTAGGAAATAAGAAGTATGGTGTTTAAATTTCAGAAACCATATAAACAATTTTCTGAGTGATGTGAGTCTTCTTTTTAACTAAGAAATTAAGAACCAACTGTGTGGCTTAGTCAGTTGAGCATCTGCCTTCAGCTCAGGTCATGATCCCAGGGTCCTGGGATTGAGCCCCATATCCAGCTCCTTGCTCAACAGGAACCTGCTTCTCCCTCTCCCTCTCCTTGCTGCTCCCTCGGCTTGTGCTATATCACTCTCTGTCAAATAAATAAATAAAATCTTTAAAAAAAAGAAATTAAAAAGATTCTGTCCCCAAATCTTTTAAACCAAGACTTACTTTTAGGTTCCCAATAATTTCTTCATAGCATGTTTCATATCTTTGTTCCTTAGACTATATATTACAGGGTTGATGAGTGGAGTAACTATGGAATAAAACAAAGTCACCATCTTCTGCATCCCAGCTTCACGCTCAGATGTTGGGCTCACATACATGACCATCACTGAGCCATAGAACAGTGAAACTACAGCCAGATGGGACCCACAGGTGGAGAAAGCTTTTCTTTGTCCAGCTGCTGAGGGGACCCTCAACACAGCTCTCAGGACCAGAGTATAGGACCCCATGATAAAGAGAAAGGGAATAAATAAGAGCAGAGAACTTAAGGTGGAGCTAGTTAACTCTATTACAGGGGCTCTAGTACAGCTGAGGGCCAACAGCGGACCTGGATCACACAGGAAGTGGTCAATGATCCTGGATCCACAGAAGGACATTTGGGAGATGATGATGATGGGAATCAAGAACCAGAAGAAACCAAGTATCCAGCAACTGACCACAAGATTGGTGCAGAGACGTCCCGTCATAATGGTTGGATAATGTAGAGGCCGGCAGATGGCAAGGTACCGATCAAATGCCATAATAGCCAAGAAAAAGCATTCTGTAGAACCCAAGGAGAAGAAAAAGTAGAACTGGAGAAAGCACCCAGAGAAGGAGATGACCTTGGTGTCAGAGAGGAAGTTGGCCAACATGCTGGGGACAGTGGAGGTGACATACCAGATCTCTAGGAAGGAGAAGTTGGCGAGGAGGATGTACATGGGAGTGTGGAGTCTCTGATCCCAGGACACAGCACAGATGATAGACCCATTGCCCATGAGGGTCAGGAGGTAGACAACAGAGAAGAGCAGAAAGAGGAGGATCTGCCCTTCCCTGGGGCAAGGGAAGCCCAGGAGGATGAAGCCAGTGATGGTGCTGGAGGTGTTGAGGGTGTTGGAGATTTTCATGGGTCTGGGAGCTGTGAAAAGACCATCACATTATTGAATGTTTGTGTAGATGGCGACCCAGATATGCATTGAAACCACCCTGTGGAATGCAATAAACACTTAATCTCAGTAATTACTATTTTTGTCTAATCCTGAAATACTGTTCTAGCTTAGTTGTTGGACTGAAAAACACAAGAAGCCAGTGAATATCAGTGGATAGACAGAGATGTTTCTTTATTGTGAAATATATGTGAACATGCTAAATACATAAGCTTATAACTTTATTATTATACATAAACCTCTGTAGTAACTACCACTGAGATCAAGAAATAGACTGTCACTTGCACCCTAGAATCTTCGCTCATGCTCCATCCCAAGCAGCATCCTCTGCCTCTCTATCCTTCCAACTGTAACATTCTCCTTTCCTTATGGTAATCACTTCCTTGTTTTTCTTTATTTTAATAGCTAAGTATGCATCCCTAAATGAAAGTATTTGGTTTTGCTTGTTTTTGTACTTTACATAAATGAAATTATCCTTTTGGCTGTCTTCTTTGTTCAAAAGTAGGTTTGTGAAATTCATGTTGTTGCATTATCTGTAGTTTCCCCATTTTTACTTCTCTATATTATTACATTCGATGAATAAACTACCACTTAGATGAATTATTTCCACTTTGGAGCTATCAGGAATAATTCTATGAATATATAGTTCATTTTTCCGTTCACACTTGCACTCGTTTCTATAGGCTGGACCATAGAATGTGTGTATCTTCAAATTTATTAAACAGTGTTCCATCATTATTGCACTATTTTTCACTTCCATTGACTGTATATAAGAGCTCTGATTGTCTACATTCTTTTCTTTCTTTTTTTTTTAAAGATTTTATTTATTTATTTTCCAGAGAGAGAGAGGGAAAGTACAAGTAGAGGGAGTGGCAGGCAGAGGGAGAAGCAGGCTCCTTGCTAAGCAAGGAGCCCGATGCGGGACTTGATCCCAGGACCCTGAGATCATGACCTGAGCCGAAGGCAGACACTTAACCATCTGAGCCACCCAGATGCCCCTGTCTACATTCTTTTCTAATGTTAAGGTCAATGTTTACCAGGGCCTGGGGAATGCTATATAGACTGTGCTTTAATGGCTTCTCCCTTTTTTGATTTCTTCTGGGGGTACTGGACTGGGTAGTTCTCTTCTTGTCAGTACTTTTTTTCAGAGTAGGTGGTTATATCAAAATTGTTCTGTTCTCAAGAGAGAGTAGACAGAAGTGAGAAAAAAAAAAAAAAAAAGGAAACTGTCCCCAAACTTGAATTATGAGAACATTGTAATGCATGGTGTAATTTAGAGCCACATCTGGGAAGTTTGTTGTCCATCTTACATGAACATTGAGCCTTGTGATCAGCCTTATCACTTAAATAAGGCATTTCTTTTTTGTACCTACTTTTCCGATATGCCTCTCCCAAGAGAGAATTCTTTGAAGTGGCTCACTCAGAAACATCTTCCTGAACAGGACGTTTCATAAAAAACTTTTTCATAGGCTTGAAATCAGTTTGTATAAGCCACTTTACCAGAAATGATTGGGAATTAGCATAATGCTTTGCACTTAGGCAGCTTTTAATAAATACTGATAAAATGAATGAATAATGCACTTTTTTCAGTTCCCAGAAAGAGATCACACCAACAGAGCTACTTGTGGGCAAAGCTGACTCAGATTGTGTGGCCTTGGAACAGCGACCCTTGGGACTATTGGGAATCTTCTATTTTGAGGGAGTTAACAAGTTCACTTATTCTGTGTGGTAATGCAGTCTACCAGCTTCAGGAGTGAAACATTCAAATTGTGGGAAATAGCTGCAGCTCATCTCTGTTAATATGGTTCCCCAGCCACCTAGGGTAGATACAGTTGAGGGATAGGATGAGCATTAATGTGGTTTTGTGGAAACAAGTCGTTGATGGTTTGGGTTGGGGATATGACTCTATAAAATTTTCTGTTTTGTAGAAATGTTCTATTTCTATTTCTATTCTAGTTATATGAACTGTGGAACCAGGCACTATCGCTCTAATGCTAAGTTACATGTAGCGGGAAACTTGAAAAGAAGAGAAAACTTTAATTTTTTGCTCCCTTCTAGTCACTGTTTGGGAGCCTTAAGTCAGAATGACCTTGGATGATTATACATTTGCATAATGGCTTTATGTTTTTCTGAGTTAAAAAAAACCCCCCACAAAACACAACCTTTGTTAAATAATCCTACCCTCAACCCTGGGTCTTGGTTATGACAACCTCTGTAAATAGGGCATGCCTAAGGAACATGAAAAATATCCATTTGCATTATCTGGAATGTAGTATCAGTTAATCAAATTATTTTTGAGGGTTGGCATAGTTATCCAAGGAGTCTGACAGTGGTCTGTCAGAGTATTCAAACACAGTAAGATTTCCCTGAATAAAATGACAGAAGGTGTCAGGGGAGAAGTAGTTGATGATAGTGTATTTTTGTGTTGATTTGAGAGGAAGATTTATGATAGGGGACCAGCAAACTGAGTAATAGTTTGGAACTTGTAAGCTGTGTACAAAAGCTTCCCTTCCTGAGCCAGACCTATTTCTGGATTTTATATGATTTTCATGACATGGGGAAGTCATGTGGCCAATAAAGTTCCCCAGGATCCTGCTAGTTTATGTCTTATATTACAGTGGGTCTTTTAGTGCCTCAGCTGTGGGAGCAACAGGTTCTGGTTCTTGTACCATAGACTTACACTTTCTAAATGCCCTTTCCTCTCTGATTTTAAGAATGTGTGACTTGGGACTGAGGTTAAGTTTCACATACCAAGTATTCATCTTTTGAAGGCAAACTTAAACCAGACATAAAATATCTAATATACATTTGCATTACTTTACCCTATTCTCATTCAGGATGAACATTTTCAGAATGTAGTCTTTTCGGAAGCAACCATTTTTCTCTTCCTTCCTTCCTTTCTTCCTTCCTTCCTTCTTCTTTTTCTTCTTTCTTTCTTTTCTTTTCTTTCTTTCTTTCTTTCTTTCTTTCTTTCTTTCTTTCTTTCTTTCTTTTTCTTTCTTTTTCTTTCTTTCTTTCTTTCTTTCTCTCTCTCTCTTTCTCTTTCTTTCTCTCTTTCTCTTTCTCTCTCTCTCTTTCTTTCTTTCTCTCTTTCTCTCTCTCTTTCTTTCTTTCTTTCTTCTTTCTTGTAGGCACCATGCCCAGTATGGGGCTTGAACTAAAGACCCTGAGATCAAGACCTGAGCTGAGATCAAGAGTCAGATGCTTAACTAACTGAGCCAGCCAGGCACCGCTATGGTTGGGGCAATTTTTTTTTTTTAAGATTTTATTTATTTATTTGACAGAGAGAGGCACAGTGAGAGAGGGAACACAAGCAGGGGGAGTGGGAGAGGGAGAAGCAGGCTCTCCCTTGAGCGGGGAGCCCGATGTGGGGCTTGATCCCAGGACACTGGGATCATGACCTGAGCCGAAGGCAGATGCTTAACGACTGAGCTACTCAGGCACCCCTGGTTGGGGTATTTTTAATCAAAGTGCTTTGCAGGATATTTCTAAAGGTTATTTTTGTAATAATCACTTTGTCCGCTCCCTCAAAATACTTTCAGCACTTTGAATCGCTTAATGTTCAAGAACTTACTTTTCCTGGTTTAGTCTAATATTGCATCTCTTCCTTTCTTTTACCCCTCCCATCCAATTCATCAGCAAGATGCTCTGCTTCTAAACTATGACTCATGTCATACAATTCTCTT